ATTCGTAATTTTGATTGGGTGGGAGGATCTCGGAAGTGATCTGCAATTTGTGTAACGATGACGGTCGCTCCTGTTGGCTGAAGATGAGCGGTGGTGTTTGGGGGTAAAAATTCAAGCCTAATATTAGTTAATTTTACATTTGAATAATCAGGAATAGTACGTGGTTGACCATAACCACTACCGTAACGGCCTATACTACCACCAGTAACACGTTTACTACAACCACGACTATTGCTTGCACTTTGATTAGTTCTAGTTAACCTTGGCCAACCTCGACCTCGTCGATTTCCACGTAAAACAGGCGTCACTTCAGGTTCTAAATTATCATCAAATATTTCATCATCTGAGTTTGGTTCATTTGATTCATGTGATTCAAGGACATTAGATTGGTCATGGAAATACGATGAGGCATTATCAACTAATAACAGGACTTGACGATTTTGAATGCGAAATTTCTGATCCAAAATTTTTAACCATTCAGAAAATATGTCATTTCGCATCCATGCTCGGAAATTTGCACGATATATAACAGGTAAAGAATCATAATTAACACGAAAAAGTGCACAAGGAGAAATTGAAGACCCAATTACTAATGGTTTTAATTTTTCTGTTCCGGTTGCATTACATGTTAGCATAATAGTAATCCGTGAACGATCCTAATTGTCATACAAAAATTAATTAAATATTTAAAATAATTAGGTCATGAAAGATTAATTAATTGGTTTTTATAACCCGATCGGTAGAAAATAGGGCATAAATGTTTGAGTATTCCTCATATAAGTGCAGCCAAGGAAAAACCTCGGTGTTGTTTTTTTGATAAACTCTGCCATGATCTGCAACATATAAATTATACATGTTTTGGATTACGACTAAAACCACACCGAGGTTTTCCCTTGGCCACACTCATATGGTATGCTTTTCACTAAAAAATTTGTATATGCAAAGATTAACTATGAAAAAATTTTAGGAGCATTCCCCTGAATTAAATAAACTGAAGGCATGCCCAAGAGAACATGCCTAAGATAAAGCCGTGCCCTGAACCAGTGTCTGGAATTCAATTTTTAATTTAGTTGCGGGCCGCAACTAAATTAAAAACTTTACTTGTGGATTGTATGGATTTAGTTGCATATATGAATGTATTTATGTTGTAAGTAGAAACGGAATTTAAGTGGCTTCAAAATTTATATATATACCCCATTTTGGGGGTTGATTTTATCATATGTACACCCTAATTTTAACCTTAATTTAACTAGAAAATTCAAAATCCACTTAAATTCTATTCCCACTTACAACATTTATATGTAAATTCGAACATATCTATATGCAATTTCACAAAATTTATTTGTGGAACCAGCATATACATTTCAAATTTTAGTTGCGGATTATTTGCAGTCCGCAAGCTCTGCAATCCAATTTCAGACACTGCTCTGAGCCCTGCCGGCTTGTGAAATTTCAAAGAATTTTTTTTTTCCAGCTTTTTTCATAAATTCTGGGCAACTAATAAAATTGATCGATGATTATTTGGCCGAATTCATTAAGTTCATAAATTCAGCGTTATTGGCATTGGATTTTGCATCACAGTAAAGCCGATAACACTGAATTCAACAACTTATCGAATTCGGCCAAACAATAATCGATCAATTTTTATCAGTTGTCTTAGAATTTATAAGAACAGTTGTAAAAAAAAAAAAAGTTGAGTGGGTCTATTTAATGTTTTATTATACTATGAAAACTGAGAAATTAAATTCAAAAATGTCCTTGTAATTTAATTATAAATTTAATTTAATGGATATTTATTTTTGGTGCACCCCGCACCGTGTGCGGGGAACAGCACCAGAATGTAGGATAGATTTTCCGATCACGTGATATCCGGCCTAAGACCCAGCTCGGAAATTCTTGATCACGACCGTAACACAAATATATAGCGTGAAGTTCAAGCAACGATTACTGGATTAAAATAATAATTTCAAGTATTCAAATTTTTTTAAATTAAACCCATTTAAAATAAAACTACAATCAACCTTCACCACACAAAGGTTATATAGCTTTTTTTCTTTATTAACAAATACAGCAACTATACAAGAATTTGTAATTAAATTTTTGCTATAGAAAAAATTTGATAAGAAAATAAATAAATTCGTGCGGTAAATTTATATAAACTTTTG